CCCCCCCCCCCCCCCCGCGCCCCCGTTATGCTGTGTGGCTCTGATTCCTCAGATGAGCGGAGCCGGACGTCACATGAGCGGCTCCTACAGCGTCTGTGCTGGGACCGGCCTGCATCAGCAGCATGTCCCCGAGCCCCGTCCATGTTGCTACACGTGCCAGAACTGCCTTCCTTTGTAGGGCCGATGGCACGAATGGACCACGTTCTGTGTGTCCCTACATCTGCCGACGGACACCGGGCCTTTTTTTTTTTTTTTGCAGCTGTGGTGAACATTCATGTACAAGCATTTGTTCAAGACTCTGCTCCCAGTTTGGGGGAGTACGTATGCATAGGCAGGGCCACGGGCCCCTGTGCTGAGCCCGCACTCCGTCTTCCCAGGGGCCTCTGCACTGGCCTCCGCGGCGGCCGCACCCCCTCCGTCCCCACCAGCGGCGTGCGGGGTCCTGGCCTGTCTGCACCCTCACCAGCACCTGCTGTTGTCTGGTTGCCGTGGCGGTCGGCCTCGGAGGCCAAGGCCCTGTGCCCTCTGGTGCCCACTCACCGCCCCGCCACACCTGCCAGCAGCAGCCCGGGGCCTCTGCGCACTCCGGGGAGGCCGTGGCCCTGGGGTCAGGGGGCGCCGGGGCTGGGGCGATGGCGGGAGACCTCAAGGTTTTCTTTTGAGGTGATGAACATGTCCTGAGCCTCCCCGAGGTGACAGTTGCTCACAGCTGTGAATACACTAAACTTGTTACATTTGATAGGCAAATTGTATGGCGTGTGCATACACGAAGCTGTTTTTATTTTAATTTTTAACTCTGAGCTCAAGACCTGAGATGTGATCAAGAGTCAGACACTTAACCAACTGAGCCACTGAGGAGCCCAAAAGTGAAGCTTTTTTTTTTTTAAACTCAACCGGCGTGTCACCTGGCTGCCTCTCAGTGATCTCAGGGTTGTGACTTCGAGTCCCATGATGGCTGCAGAGATGACTTAAAAATAAAATCTTCAGGGGCAGCTGGGTGGCTCAGTCAGTTAAGCTTCTGACCCTTGATTTCAGCTCAGGTCATGACCTCACAGTTCATGAGTTTGAGCCCCGCATCAGGCTCTGCGCTGAATCCTGTTTGGGATTCTCTCTCTCTCCTCCCCTCCCCCACTCGCTCTCTCAAAATAAATAAACCTAAAAATAAATAAATAAACTTAAATAAATATGGGGTTTTAAAAAACAAAATCTTACAAAAAAGTCAAGTGGCGAAAACAGGTCTAGTCAGGGAACTGTTGGTGGCAGAGGCGTCCACCCAGGGCCACGTCCTCACCCCAGCATCCTGCAGCCTCACGTGCATGTGGGTGTCCCCCACGGGGAGAGAGGCTCACAGGTGAGGTGGAACGCTCCTCCCTGGACACTCGACGCCTCATCCCAGCCACGGTCCCCAGACCTGTGACTTGGGCCCAAATGTGGCAGCGTTTTGTCCTGCAGCCCATTCAGTCCCAGGCTCCGCTCCCGCCTCCAGGCCCAGTGAAGTCGTCAGGTTCCCAGGGCTGGCACTGCCAGGAGACCCCAGTTCCCAAGTCCCAGCCCACTGCCAGGGCCGCACTGAGCCCCCACAGCTCCGCTGAGCGGGGCATCCTTGGCTCATGGACTGAGTGACCTGTGCGGCCACTTGCCTGAAGCTGGGCCCGGGCGTACTCGGCCTCGTGTGCGCAGGCTGTGAGCATGGAGGACACTTTCTGCCCAGCCCTCGTGTGCACGAAACCTGCCAGACCTGTTTCCCGGGGGCAGGGGTAAGAGCCTAGTTCACCCCAGGCCCTCAGTCCCCTCTAGTTTCTGACCCTCCTCTCTGTCTTCCAGGCATCTGTGGGCTCCGAGAAGCTCTTTGCCCCAGCAGCCGATAAAGGTAAGCGTGTTCCTTGGCCTCTAGGAAGGGAACATACTCCTGAAGTTGTCATGGGAGAGGACAGTGGGCCTCGGGGCAGGAGAGTGGGCTCCAGGTTAGGTACTATTGTGGGTCAGGTTGTGGGTGCAGAGCCTGAGGCAGGAGTTAGGTGCTATGACTTAGTCCCTGAGCAAAAGCCACAAGGAAAGCAGAAGTCAGGATCAGGGCCAGCACTGGAAGAGTGGTTCCCAAAGTGGTGTTCCTGCCCTTTCCCCAGGACTGTCATAGTGCCTCTTCCCAGACCCTCCCCGGGCTCATGGGGTCAGGTGTTCTAGGGACAAGTGGCAGCTCATGGTTTGGCGCCGCTGAAGCACCCCTGCCGCAGTGTACGCTGGCCCCCAGGCCACCAGCCGCCACTGCATACGTGGCTGACACTGGCGGGAAGTGACTAGGGTCCCTGCACAGCAGCCCTTCCCCTGGCCGGCAGCCCCCACGTGGGCGGCACAGGCGCACAGCATTCCGTGTCGCCAGAAAGCCGTCCTGGGCAGCACTGCTCCGGAGAGTGACGGCCCCAGCGTCCAGCCCATTCGAGGCCAGGGGAGGCCTTTGTAACGCAGCCCGCCCCAGCTGTGGCCCAGGGCGGGTACCACTGGCACCAGCACAGAGATGGGCCCTTCTGCCTGGAAGGCTCCATCCAGATGTGACTGTACAGGGCGGGCGTCTGCAGCGGCAGGTCCCGTGGTCTGCCAGCAGGGCACGGCCTCTGCCGCTTCCACGTCGGGGAGGCTCATCCTCAAGTCCGAGCATTTCAGCCAAGCACACATGCTGGATAGCGTCGGGGTCAGGGAGCCACACAGGTCTGCTGCATTTCTCACAGACTGCAGCACAGAACTGTCTCCTTTTCAACAAATGATCACAAACTGGGAGGCTCAAAATGGACCGACACTTACCTTCTCAACAGGTCTGGAGACCAGAAGTCTGAGATGCAAGTTGTTGGCAAGGCCACACTCCGAAAACTCTGAGTTTCCTTCCTGCCTCTTCAACGTCTGGGGATCTCTGGGCTTGTGGCTGTACCCCCCCCCACCTCCCGTGGTTGCCTCCTTTTCTCTTATAAGGACACCCATCACTGCATTTAGGGTCCACCCCCTTCCACACTGATGTCATCTCAAAATTCTTAGCTTGGTGACATCTGCAAAGACCCATTTTCCAAATTTGGTCACATTGACAGGTAGTAGGGATTACAACTTGGACACAGCTTTTTGGCACAGTTCGCCCCACTGCCAGGTCCCTCCCTGGTGCAGGCCGAGCTCAGGAAACCAGTCAAGGCTTTGAGTGGCCTGGGGGAGGTGCACATCAGGGGTGCACGGGTCACGCTCGTGCTTTCCCGGTGAGGGGAGAGGCTCCAGGGGGCCCAGCGAGCTGGTGGCCACCAGGCCTGCACGGCCTGCACCTGCCTCTTCTTACTGTCCAGGGAGTGGCCCCTTGGGCTGCTGTGCGTGGCCAGAGGCTAGGCCATGACCGTGGGGCCAAAGCCAGCAGTGCTCACTCCCTCTCCCCCTCCCTTGGCGGTGCTAGCATCCGCGGCCTCCTCCTGGTTCTGTCCCTGAGCAAACAGATGAGGTGGTGGCTCCAGAGGGAGGTGTCACTATAGACACAGAAGGAGCCATGTCCTGCTGCTACCTACTTCTGCCAGCGAGGACACTTCCCAGCCTTAGAGCAGGGTCCTCGGGGTGGTGCTGCTGGCCTGGGTCCCACAGCCATGCGGCTGCAGGGGCGGTGGGTCCCTGGAGGAAGTGAGATCTGCCAGCAGCCCAAACAGGGTAACCGCACTCAGCAACCTGATTTCCACTCCTGGGAAACTGGGCCGTGGTCACCTCGAGGCAGAGCCGCCTCTGGCCTGAACATGTGCCCTCTGCCTAGGCTGCTTAGGGTATTTCTTAACCCACTGCGCCCCCAGGCATGTGACCTGAGACACTCCTGGAAAGGAGGGTTTGGAATGAGTAGGCAGCAGTTCAAGGTCATGAGCACACCTGAGCACAAACGCGGGACTCCCAGGGGAGCAGACCCTGGTGCTGCCAGGGTAGGTGATGAGGGTCGGTGGATGTGGTGAGAGTGGGGGAGCGACAGCTTCCTCCCCCAGGTCATGGGCCTAGAGAGGGCTTAAGGCATGGGTCACCTGCGTGGTTCCAGAAAAAAGGCCACCAGCATGCGGGTCGCTCTGTCGCAAGGGCAGGATGGGCGTGCCTGCGGGAGAGACCGTTTCGGAGCCGCAGCCCTGCTGGGGCACATCCTGTGCGGCTTCGTCTCCCTTCCGTGAACCGGGGTCGTGAGACCCGCGCTGGGACTGCCGGGGGCGCTCCGCGCGGGCAGCCCCCCCTGCTCCCCCGCGCCGCAGCCGCAGCGGGGCCCAGCTCATTCTGGCCCTCTCTCCCGCAGACCCCACGCTGGGCGAGGAGGCCGAGGCCAAGGCCGGAGCGCCAACCAAGGTCTCGGGCCTGGAGCGCAGCCGCGAGCTGAGCGCCGACCCGCCGCCCTTCCTGCCCGCCGTGCGCAGCCCCGCGCCCCCCGCCGGCCCCGCGCCGGGCGCCCCGGCCAACCCGCCGGTCAAGAAGGAAGCCCCCGCCCTGCCCCGCCTCACCCCGCAGCCGCCGCCCGCGCCCCCGCAGCCCCGCGCCCCGCTCCCGACGCACGTGCCTCTGCCCCTGGGCGCCTTCGCGGGCCCGGGCCCGGCAGCGCACAACGGCCTGCACAGCCTCAGGTGGGCGGGGCGGGGCCGGCCGGGGGCGGGGCCGGAGGGCGCCCGAGCGCGCGCGCACTGAGCCCCCGTCGCCCCCCATCCCGGCAGCAGGAGCAGCAGCGCCAGCAGCAGCGCCAGCCTCGGGCTCGCGAAGCACGCGTCCCTGTCGCCTCTCGGGCCAGGCCCCCACCTGTCTACCTCACACCTGGCGCTCCGCCCGCAGGCCCAGCACCAGCACCACGCGGCGGCCATGTTCGCCGCCCCCCCGACACTGCCCCCGCCCCCGGCGCTGCCGGCCAACAGCCTGGTCATCCCAGGACACCCTGCCGGTAGGTGCTGGCCGGGGCCGGGGTCGCTGTCCCCCCTCCACTTCGATCCTGGCCTCTGGGCGTGTGGGAGGTTCTCGGCCCCCCGCCCCGGGAAGGGGTGCCGGCTCCCGAGGCGCCACCCCGCAGCTGTTCGAGGACCCCACAGACGGACGGCAGGACTCTGGGCGCAGCAGGCTGCCTTTCCCCAGGGGACCCCACCGCCCAGGGCCCAGGAGGCGGCCTGCCTGCGCTGGGCTGTGCACACGGCCGCGCACGCTGGGCCCTGGCCGGGCCTGCTCCACTGCCAGGCAGCAAGGGGCTTCCAGGACCCGCCTGACCCCTCGCCCCCCGTGTGCCCGGGTCTGGGGGGCGTGTAGAGCGAGGCCTGGAGCAGGAGGGTCTCCAGGTGACAGCACCAGGCTGGCCTCTCTCCCCTGCGCGTTCTGGCAGGGTCCCCCCTCAGGGCCAAATCTCAGGTCGTTAAGGTTTCCCGTGGGTCTTGCCTTCAGGTTCGTTTCACGATTCCGAGCAGCCCACCCCCGCCCTGGGACGGGACCAGGATGCTGGGCTGGGGGGGGCAGGGCTCCCCTGTGGCCGGCTCTGGGGGCCCCGGCGGCTCACGGTGTTCTTTCTTGCCTTTAGATGCCAGCCTGTTGATCTCATTCAGCCAGCCAATCATGTATTGCCAGCCTCATTCGGGGATTCTGATTGGTACTTGGTCACAGGCACCTCTCTTACCTCCACCCTGGGGCCCGCACCTAGCGAGCGGCCACCACGGCTTGGCCTGCCGCGGCCGGGAGTGCCAGGTGACTATCCGCCTCGCCCCGCCCGGAGCCCGCGGCCGACGTGCCTCTCCGTCTCTCTCTCTTTTTCTCTTGTAGATCACGAGCTGCTCAGGCAAGAGCTGAACGCGCGTTTTCTGGTCCAGAGCGCTGAGCGGCCCGGCGCCCCCCTGGGCCCGGGGGCTCTGCTGCGGGCGGAGTTCCACCAGCACCAACACACACACCAGCACACACACCAGCACCAACACACATTCGCCCCCTTCCCCGCGGGGCTGCCCCCGACGCCGCTCCTGCCGCCCGCCGCACCCCCGCCGGTGCGTAGCCCCCCGCGCGCGCTGGCGGGCGGGGCGGCCCGGGCGGCGGGACACGCAGCAGGCACACGCAGACGCTCTCCGCACGCACGCAGGCAGACGCGGCCCCCTCTGTCAGTCTGTCCGTCCGGCCCCTCCCTCTGGTTCCCGCCGGGTGATGATGTCATGCCATGAGGTTCCCTGACCTGGGCTTGGGCGGGGGCCCCACATCCACACGTGGGTGACGTGGCCTTGGGGCCAGTTACGCCCACACAGGGTTTTCGAGTCTCAGTTTGCAGCAGGCGGGGAGACTGAGACAGGGCTGAGAGGGGCCGGGGAACCAGGATGTCCCCCAGTTGGCCCTGGGCCAGGGCCTCATCTCTTGAGCCAGCAGCTGTGTGGGGCAGGGTCCACCCCCACTAGGCTTTGCTTGGTGATGGGCCAGTTTGCCGGGGGCCTGGGGGCATCTCCCTGCTTGGCCACCAGCCCTGGGCTCCATGCCCCCCATCATGGCTGCAGCGTTTCCTCTTGGGCCACAGGAGTAGATTCAGACAGTCCACACCGGCCAGTCTGCACCTCCCACAGTGGGACCATTAGAACAGGGGCCCGTTAAGTCCACCCAGTCTGAGACCCAAGGGGCCAGCTCAAAGCCATTGGCACTGCCCTCAGGAAGCCCAGGGCGCAGCTGGCCACAGACTACCAGCTGCAGGAGGCAGGACAGCCATCCGGGCCACTGCCTGGCCCAGTGGGGGTGCGGGTGCTGGGCCCAGTGGAGGGCGTAGGCAGGCTCGGGAGGCCTCACTCTCCGCTTCTTTCCCTTCCAGTTTGACAAATACGCGCCCAAGCTGGACAGCCCCTACTTCCGACATTCCAACGTGAGTGTCCCGCGTGGTCACTGCTGGCCAGCGCGCTGGAGGGAGCGGGTACAGGGTGGAGTTGCGCCTACCCAGAGGCCTTGTCAGGGCACCTTCCGCCAGTATAAGGGGCTGGGCCCCCCTCCCCCCCCGGGTGTCCACGCTCCCAGCGGGGCCCCTGCAACGCTCCCTCTTTCTCTTGCAGTTTTTCCCGTCCTTCTCTTCTGCCATCCCCGGACTGCCCACCCTGCTCCCACACCCAGGCCCCTTTGGGTCCCTACAGGGTGCTTTTCAGCCCAAGGTACCATCTGCTCCTGGGGTGGGGCAGGGTTCAGGGCACAGCGGGAGTCCCCGGCCACGCAGGCGTGTGCTGCCCTCCTAGTGTTGGGGTGAGCCAGCCATTCCAGGGGGTGTGTCCGTGCAGCCCCGTGGCGGGAGGGGGCAGGGTCCGCAGCCTCGGTGCAGACCACCCCAGCAGGACCCCCGGTCTAGGCAGCAATGGGGGGGTCACCAGGAGACCGCAGGGGCCATGCTTCATGCATCCTCACTCCTCAGCCAGGTGTGTGCGGGGTCAGGGTGGGGAGGACCAGGGCAGAAGTGAGGTATGGTGGGGGGGGGGGGGGCGGCACAGGGCTGTCCGTGCCACAGGAGGCCCCGGGCAGAACTGGGCTTGCTTCTCTGACCCTCCCTGAAACAGGGCTGTCTCAGTCCCCCAACCCAGGCATGGCTGCGCCAGGAGCCCCTTCCCAGCTTTGCAGAAACCCTTGGACTGAGGATGTAGGAAGCCAGACCTCCTCTGAGGGGTGGGGGGCAGTGTGCAGGGGCCACAGGCAAGGCAAGGTAGACCTGGGCAACTGGGGTCCTCTGCCTAGGCCTGGGGTCTGCAGCTGTCTCACACCCCGTTCTCTCCCTTCAGACTTCAAACCCAATCGAGGTAACGGGTCGAGCCAGTGCTGTTCACACCCTCCTCCAGAAAGCCCCCGGGGTAGGTGCAGCAGTGCCTGCCCGTCCCTCCTCCCTGCGGTCACCCCGGCCGCCCCAGTCCCCCTCATGGCTGCTGTGGGGCATGTCCATCCCTCAGCTGCCCCCAGAGCCTAGACCTGACCCTTTGTTTTCTTTCAACGGCAGGTTTCTGACCCATACCGGACGGCAGTCAGGGTGAGTGTGTGGCACACATCTGTGTGTGTGTGCATGTCTCCTTGGGAGGAAAGGGTCTCGGGGAGGGTCGCAGCTGGGGAGGACACTGGGTCCCCCCTGGGTGGCCACAGGGGTGCCCGTGACAGCAGGACTCGGGGGAGATGGTGGGGGTGGAGGGGGGCGTAGTGAAGCGGTCTCGCAGTGCGGCTGAGCGTGTGGCCCGCCCCGTCACAGAAGCCTGGGAAGTGGTGTGCTGTGCACGTGCAGATCGCCTGGCAGATCTACCACCACCAGCAGAAGATGAAGGTGAGCCCCAGCTGCTCGGCCTGCTGCCCAGGCCGGTGCGTCACAGGGCGTCCCCAGTGCACCCCGAGGCACCCAGAGATTTGCGGAGTGCCCCTTGTCTGGGTGGGGGGCCACACAGGATGACCCCAGGCTGGGGTTTGGGAGGAGTGGGGTGGTGCCAGGTGGGGGACCTGCCCTCACCCAGACGGGGACAGCGGTAGCCAGGGGCCTCAGACCCCCCCCCACACACCACCATCACAGAAGGGTGCTCACATCCTTTGCTGTCATCTCTGGTCACACATGTCACCTCCATGCACGGCTTTCAAAAATCATCACGTCCAAAATGGGCTACAAGAAAGGCTCATACAACCGGAGCTTGTAACAAAATAGCGCGTGGTGCTCTGTGCAGATGTCCTGGCGAAACCTTGAGGGCAGGGAAGGAACGGGGGGGGTGGGGGGGGCGGCTGTCACACGCAGCAGCACCATGGGGCCTCTCCCCGGGGCTGGGGCACCCTCTGTCACACTGGCAGCGCCCCCACTGCCCCGACGGGGAGCTGGAGGCTAGCAGGGCCCCAGGGGAACCAGGAAGCGCTCGCCTGGCCGCCGTGCCTGGGGTGGCCTTCATCACTGAGGGGCAGGCTTTCTCGGTGTGTTTAATTTATACAAATGTAAGTGTTACTAGTGACGCCAAGTTCAGCCACCAGGAAACTTCTAAGCATATTTAAAACAGCAGAGGTATGTGAGTCTATTTTTTCAGTTCAGTCTTACAAAGTCTTAACCCAGGTAAAGTGTTTCCAATGAAAGTTTAACATCCAAGCTGAGATCCGCTTTAGCGTAAAGCACACAGCTTTCACAGAGCACGTTTATGAAACCCCTTCTGTGTCCAGCACACGTGGTCATGACCACACTTTCATCCTGAGTCACGAGGCCTCGCTGGGACGAGGGCCCAGGTAGCGTCACACGCGTGTTGGTGGCAGGGGCTCTCCCGGCTGCGGGCCCAGCCCACGCTCTGTCCGTCTCAGCAGATGCAGCTGGACCCCCACAAGCTGGAGGTGGGCACCAAGCTGGACTTGTCCAGCAGACCCCCCGCCCCGGGCGTGTTTGCCGGATTCCACTACCCGCAGGAGCTGGCCCGGCCCCTCTTCTCTGGCTCGGGTAAGGCACCCTGTCCAGAGCCCAAGGAAAGGGGGTGTCTGGGGGGCAGGGGCGTTCTTGCCCGTTCCCTCCGGCTGGCCCTGGGGCAGGACCACTCTGGACGCTTCAGCAGTTTGTTTTCTTTGCGCTGCTGTCCGGCCGTCTCTGCCACCTCGCAGGCTCTCCATCACCCCTGCTGAGGCGAGGAGGGCCAGGAGTCCTCGTGGCGCCCAGACTGCCCCTCCCCCAGCCCCACTGCCCTCTCAGGAAGGGTCGCCGCTCCCCTCGGACCTCAGGAAGCTGCCCCGAGAATTCTGCCCGGCACGCCGGCAGCCGTGGCACAGGCCTGCTATGTTGGGCCCCAGGGCCACCCCCAGCCTCGAGGGTCACTAGGAGCCCTTCATACTCAGCAGAGGTCACCCCCATAGCTAACACAGCACAGGGAAGGGATGCAGCGCGATGGGCAAAGGGGAGCGGCACATGGGACCAGATCAGCTGAAGCCACTGCCCCGTGCCACCTGACAGGGAAGCCACAGACCCAGCGCCCGGGGTGTCTGCAGGGGGCTGGGCACCTGGGCAGCTCTGCCCGCACACACCCAAACCACGGACTCCCAGGAGGGCAGGCGCTCCGTGTGAACCAGGGTGTGCACGAGTGAGTGCGGTTCACGAGGGACTCCTGTCCGAGGAAGGAGAGAAACCCCCTCTGAGAGCGGAGCCCCAGCCTCACGCTCAGGCCTTTCTCAGGTCTGCCGTCTCCGCCCAGGGTGTGAGTGCTCCCGCACGTTTCTCACGCCTCCTCGGGGACAGGCAGCCTGCAGACATCACCTTCTCAGAGAACCCTCCCTGACCACCCTCCTCTGCCTCCCCTCTCCCGCTCCATAGTCATGCAGGCTCACCTCCACCTGCAGCCACGTTGCCTGGGGACACGTGGTCAGTGAGGGTGGGCCTGTCAGCAGGCTGGGTGGATGGGTGTGACAAGGTCCCCCCGGCTGACCTCATAAGCATGGTGGCTCTTCTCAGCCCCTGGCTCCAGCGCCCTGGTGGTCTGTAGACCCCGTGTGGGCTTCAGCCCCTGGAGATCCCAGGACGCAAGTTCAGTGCACTCTGGAGCCTGGACTCGAAGCCCCAGCCCAGCCCTGCTGTGCGGTCCACGTGCCCAGGACACGCCCCCCACACCGGCGAGGCCGTGGGCATGCGCTGTGGCTGGGAGGAGGGAGTCCTGTGTGCTGCCCCGCGCTGGAAGCTTGCCTGTGGGCATGTTGGCCTTTGCTCGCTGCCCGTGCCCTCTCCGACGAAGCCTCCCCCCACACACGTGCGGGGGCTCATCTCCATCAGCACTGGGGCAAGCCACTTCTCATTCCCAATTTCCTGTTTAATTTCTTTGGCTTACCTTTCTGGTGGGGAGCTCCATGGGCATGAACGCTTCCCTGTGGGGGTCCCCCAAGGTGGGGAGCGCTGGAAGACGGGTGGCGTCATCACTGGTCTCTGCCAGAAACCCGCCCTCGCGAACAGAGGCCGGGTGCCCCACCCTAGCGGCGAGGCCGGCCCCTTGATCCACCCAGCGCGGCTTCTCAGGGCCCGTGCTGCACTCGGCTGCCCTCGGGCTGGGTCAGGAGCCTCAGCAGAGCCGGGGCAGGACCACAGAGTGGCAGAGCGGGCACCTGTGGGCTGTGGCCAGGGGACCCCACAGGAGGAGCTGCTGCTTTCAGCCGTGACGCAGGCCACCCTGCACTAGGGCTGTTGTGACCACGCTCACACATCGGCTTCTAGTTGGACGTTCCCCATCTTCGTCTTAAGGGGCAGCCTTGAAGGCTCTCTGTGCCCCTTTCCCTGGGAACTCCACTACCACCTGCCCCCTCAGCGTGCTTCTGGCAGGAGGTGTGCACATCCCCAGAGGAAGCTGGGCTGTCCCCGCCCCTGGAATGAGCCACAAGCAAGAGGCCCCCAGTACATGAGGCATCTGTCACCCCACCCCACAGGTGCAGCCCACCCCACTACCAGCCCATTCGGACCCTCGGCCCATCCCGGCAGCTTCCTGACCACCAGTCACCTGACAGGTAGGTGCTCCCGGGCCCCTAAGGCTGCCTGGGCCTTTCTGCCGCCCTCAGGGCTGGGGTGGGGGAACATCGGTGTGTGGGGAGGTGACCCTCGTATTATACAGGCAGCAAATGCCATGCTCTGGAGTCACAGGACTGGGCCTGGTGCACCTGGGGAGTCAGGTGGGGGCTCTGGCATGAGCCATGCAGAGCCCTGAGCCCCGGTGTCCCCGCAGACCCGTTCAGCAGGCCAGGCACCTTCGGGGGCCTGGGGAGTCTGGGCAGCAACGCCTTCGGGGGCCTGGGGAGCCACGCACTGAGTGAGTGACCACCGTGCCTGCTCCCTGTTCCCACGCGTGCATGCCTGGGCACCTCACGTGGGTTTGGGCCGCACCCTGTTCCCTGGCCGCCCCCCGGGACACACCCTCCACTGTGTGGGAATGGTGTGCTTCCGCTCCGCAGCCCCGAGGTTGCAAGGGGCGCCCTGGGCAGGGGTGGGACGGGGCCCCCTGGGCAGGGAGGGGCCCAGTGCCATCCTGGCCTCATGTCCCCGCCCCCCTCCAGCTCAGAGCAGCGGCATCTTTGCCCCCAAGGAGAGCTCTGCGCTGCACGGCCTGCCCAGCCCCCACGAGGCCTGGAACCGACTGCACCGGGCGCCCCCCTCCTTCCCCACGCCGCCCCCGTGGCCTAAGCCTGTGGACCCCGATCGGGTCTCAGCCCTGACCAACCACGACCGGGAGCCGGACAAGGGCCGGGAGGAGCGGGATCGGTGAGTGGCCCCCCCTTGCTCCTGCGGCCGCCTCCCGGCTTCGCGGGGCTCTGCCCTCAAGATCCCCCTGGCTCTACCCTCAGGGCTGGGCAAGGCCAGGGGAGAGCCCCAGATGGGGCAGGATGTGGGCAGGGGCCATCCAGAGGGAGGAGGGTCCACCCCTGGAAGGGGCCGCTGGGACAGCTGGCTGGCTGCCCGCAGCAGGGCCTCTGCAGGGAGCTGGGTTAGCAGGGCAGTGGGACCGTCTGCATCTTCCGGGGGGGGGAGGGGGGCACCTCTGGCCAGGAGGGTGCCCCTCGGCAGTGGGACTGGGCTGGGCCAGGGGAGGCGGGAGTCCTCATCCAGAGTCAGCAGCAGAGTCTGGAATCTGAGGGCTGTTGATTGTGTCTGGCCGGCCGAGGGGACTGGAGCAGAGAAGGGCCCCTGGCCAAGACCACAGTCGGGACACCCATCCTGGGGGCCCTGCCCCCTTCCCCGTCCCCGGACTCCGGGAGCCTGGAGAATGAGAACCATGGCCAGTCATGGCCAAGACAGGGCTCCAGGGTCCCACCCTTCCAGTGAATTTGGGCCCAGCTCCCTCGCTGAGGGTCTGTTGCCTCGGGGGCCTAGTGGCTTGGGTCTGGGGGAGAGCTCTGGGATTCTGCTGCGGAGCTGCTTTCCAAGTTGTTTATCGAGGGGAGGGAGGCGTTCGGTGTTGGGGGACCTCCGTGAGGGTGTGGGTTTGTCACCATGTGTCGACAGGGTGCTAAAAGGGACCTCCCACACAGACACCCCTCCCCCCCAAGGATCTTGAGGTCGTAGAGGTGGGAACTTGGTAGCAAACAGCTTGAAAGGCTGAGAGGAGGTGTCTGTCTGTCGCTCCCAGGGACCTCCTGGAGAAGACGCGCCTGCTGACCCGGGCCTCGCCCGCAGCCCCCGTGGGCTACCCGGTCGGGAGCCTCCTGCTCCGCGGCCAGGGCGAGCCGTGCCGGCCCGGGGTCCCCGCCGAGCGCGAGGCTGAGCCCCGCATCAAGGAGAGCCGCTCCCCGGCCCGGGAGGACGGCGCCAAGCCGCCTGCGCGCGCGCCGTCTCCCTACAGCAAGGCGGCCCTGGGCGACAGCCTGCGCCTGGCGGGCCTCCTGGGCCGAGAGCCGGGGAAGCTGCCCGACGCGCCGGCCGAGCGGCCCCAGGGCGACGTGAAGGTCAAGGAGGAGCGCAGGGAAGACGGCGACGCGCCCGAGCCCCCGGCCGGCCCGCCCCCTGCGCCCGAGCGCCCGCGCGCCGCCCCCGCGCCCCTGCAGCTCGGCCCCAGCCCCGCGGGCCGCGAGCGCCTGGGCTTCCCGTGGGAGCCCCTGCGCGACGCCTACCGCGGCCTGGAGCTGCCCCGGCGCGCCCTGCCCGCCGCCCCGGCCGCCCTGTTCGAGCCCTCCGAGCGCCCCTACCGCGACCGTGAGCCGCACGACTACAGCCCCGAGCGCCTGCGGGAGGCGCGCCGCGAGGAGCTGGAGCGCGCGCGGGCCACGCACCTGGGCGCCGCCGCGCACCTGCCGCCCGGCGCCGCGCACCTGCCCGACGGCGCCGCGCACCTGCCCGCGCTGGGCGCCCTGCACTACCCGCGCCTCGGGCCCGCCGCCGCCGCGCTGCACAGCGGGCTCCTGGCGCGGACCCCGCCCGCCGCCGCGGCGCTCGGCGCGCCACCCCCGCTGGTGGCCGCGGGCGGGTCCCCCACGCCCCCCGGGCCGCCGCCGCCGCGGAGCAGGACTACGCCGCTCGGGGCCCACGGGCCCGAGGCGCGCGACTATTCCCCGTCCCGCAACCCCCAGGAGGTGGAGGCGCGGTAGTCCCCGCGGGACCCCGCGCCGCCTGTTCGGAGACCCTCCTACAAATGCACTGCTGTAAACTTTTCTACGTGGACGTTTCTAGAACCTAAGCACAGCGCCGTCAGCCCTGGGGTGACACTCGCTTTCCGCTCAAAGCCTGCGGAGTCGGGGGGGGTTCATCCACAGCCTTGCTGGGGGTGAGCTTTTGTTTTCCGAGCTCGAGGTTAGGCCACTGGAAGAGAATAAGAGTTTGTACATCTTTTCCCACAGGTGAGAAGCGTTTTTAATAGATTTGTATTTTTTTCAATTTTGTGCTCTTTAGACATTTAAAACAAGAAACTTTTGCTTTTTTATCTTCAGTTCGGATTTGCAATGTAAAGGCCTCAGATTCCTCTCTAGAGCCCCAGGATCTTTTTGTCTTATTTATGGAGAAAACACGGTCATTTTGTCCAGCGCACTGTGAGGCCCCACTTCAGGCCGGCCCTGGCCCTCCCTTGGTACTTGGAACCGAAGTTACAGATCTATATTAAAATAATAATAATGTACAAAACTTTTTTTGCCTTATTATGCAGAAGTGTTAAGAGGATTTCTTTTTCAGTTTGTTTTTAAAAAAAGAAATATGTAAATAGTCTGTTAATATAAATATATGGCGTTATTAAATTCTTAACCTGGGTAGACTTTATAAAAAAAATTTCTAGAAACCTCTCTGGTTATTTGTTTAACATGGTCACTCACAAAAACAAAAAAACAAACCTCGCTGTCAGTTGGAAACGCCCGAAAGTTTAACTGCAGCACCGACCCTTCAACTATGCAAGCGCCCCGCGGTGGGGCCTGGCCGCTCCGGGGAACGCGGTTCCGAGCGGTCCCGCGGGGCTCCGGGTCCCCGGCCCCAGGGCCCCGCCCTTCCGGGGACTGGCCGGCTCTGGCCACAGGACACTTCTGTGGACCCTGGTTTCGATTGTGCAGCGGTCTCGGAATCTGTACCTGACAAGCAGACTTTTAGGAGTGAAGAGTCTAAAGGTTCATCACAAAAAGAAACGGTAACTTCTGTTTTCTCTCCTGCGCAGAGGCCGTCAGCAGACATTGCTCAGCGTGGCCCTACCCCGGCCGAGGCCTTGGCATGATTTCCTTTTGCTTTCGGTTTTGCTTTCATAACCGCCCGAATGTCACCTCGTCCTGCCCGCAGCACCCTTTTCTGTTCCCTGACGGCCACACCTGTGTCCACGGCACTTTTGAACCTTGTCGGTTCGACCAGTTCTGTATTTTCAACCCCCGTTTCCACTGTGGACTCTGGTTGCTTTAAACATTCAGTTCTCGTGTCAATCAATGAAGATAAATACAGTCTTGATTTCGGATCACAAGGTGGTCGGGTGTTTTGTGCGGCATTGTGGAAGGCAGGGGTTTGCCCCCCCGGGGTTGCTGGCCACCCCTGCCTAGGCGCGGCCCACGGGCCTCTCGTCCTTCCCACCTCCAGCTTCGCCCGGATTGGCTCCCCTGGGGCTGCTCTGCTGCGGGAGCCCCTCCCGGCCCTTGCCTGCGGCCCGCGCCTTGTCCCGGCCCCGGCCCACCTGCCGCCCAGTCTTCTCTGCGAACTGGGCAGAGGCTCGCGTCCGTGGAGGGCCGGCCCTGTTGCGCTACCCTAGCGCCGTTCAGAGCCAGGTGACCCTTCCGTGGAGAAATGAGGGCTCAGGGAAGGAGGGGGCAGAGGCAGGACTGGCCACCCCGCTCTCTTCTGGAGAAGGGCAAGGGGCCATTACCTCTGCCCTGGCCCGGAAGTGGGGGCCCCGACAGAGCGCCCTGAATGGATTTGCCTTGTTGGGTGAGCAGCCGGGACCGGAACTGCTCTGAACCTAAGGGCCCCCCGCATGGAGAGTTGGGGGTGCCTCACACACGGAGCCCACTGTGCCCAGTGGCCTGGGCTAAACACCACACCGATGCCAAGGCCGAGCAGGGCAGCCCGCCAGCCCCAGGGCTCTGGCCTCCTCACGGGTGTAGTCGGAGCGTGAGTGCATTTCAGGCTCTTCCCTTGACTACCACGTGCGAGTCCAGGGATAGCACATAAAGGAATAAAACACGTGCCCTAGAAGCCAAAGGACACAGTCTGCACTGAGCCATACACGTAGGCTGAGGGGAGGAGGGCAGTGCTCTTCACCCCGTCCCAGGTAAGGGCCCCGGATGGAATGGCACCCGTGGGAGAAAGTTGGTGTCTGCACTGGGGCACCATGTTCCATCCCTGAGGGAGGTCATTTTCAAGGGGTCACTTTCTCTAAGGGAGTGTTATCCTGGAGGAGGGTTATCATGATGGAGCATAATCCACAGTGCAATTCTCCCTGGGAGCACTCCCCACCAAAGGCCATAACCCTTTGCCCCACAAGGGACTGTCATCTGTAATGCAGCACCAGAGTCCAGGGACCCAGGGTCTACACTGGAGCATCACTCCCTAGGAAGTGTTTTTAAAATAAAAATAAATGGTTGTAGGGGCACCTGGGTGGCTCAGTCAGTTAAGCGTCCGACTTCGGCTCAGGTCATGATCTCGTGGTCCGTGGGCTTGAGACCCACGTCGGGCTCTGTGCTGACAGCTCAGAGCCTGAAGCTGCTTCGGATTCTGTGTCTCCTCTCTCTGACCCTCCTCTGCTCATGCTGTCTCTCTCTCTCTCTCTCTCTCTCTCTCAGAAATAAATAAAACATTAAAGAAGCAACATCAGTCTTAAAAATAAATGGTTGTCAGATAAACATTTTATATAAAAGTTAAGAGTTTATAAAATTTGTAAAATCTAGAAGGTAAAAAAAAAAAAAGTTGAAAAATTGAGGTGAAATAAAGACACAGAGGCTTTCTCAGGAAGCCATCAACCAACTCTTAGAATTTTCAGGAAAAAAGGTCTAACACAGGTGGGGGGCATTTAAAAGAAGTGATGTGAAGAACACCCCAGTCAAATGCCGGTCAAGAATAAAGTCATCTTCAGACATGCTTTTATTCCCTGTGTCTTTTCTTTGGAGGCTACTAGAGAAAAAATTCAGGTGAAGTAAGGCTGTCAACCAACAGAAAGGACCCACGTGGGAAGGGGGGACCCAGAATGACTGCACGGCAGTTGCGGGAGCACTCCGCCCTGCGCCGGTCTCAGGGAAACTGCCGGGAGCACTTTGCTCTCCTTGTTGGCTCGTCTCTGCATGTGAACTTTAGGGTTAGCCTCTCTGGTTTTTGCTCACTTTTTTCTTGTGACCTTTATATTGGAATAGCACCGGATTCACAGGTTAATTTGGGGGAAGAAAGGGCATATTTACAATATTGATTCTTCCCAATCCACTATCCAACTCGCTAATTTATCTGGGTTTCTTTTTCTGCTGTTTGGTAAAGGTTTTAATTCCCCATCTAAGTCTCGCGGCTTCTTGTTACATGCATTCCTGTGTGTTTTAGGCTTTTGATGAAGTTGGGGTTTGCCTGTTCTTCGCGATTGCACAGAACGGCTTCTGGCCACATATGTTTGTGGTACACCCTGCTGCGACCGACCCCAGCACTAGCTCCCAGCCTTCCGCGTCATGGTGACTGTACTCCCGGCCCTTCGCTACCAGGGGCAGGACTCCCTCTGGTCAGTGCATTTGCCGTGGAAATGGGCATTTACCTGCCGGTGTGGGTCCCCTGCCGGCAGCCAGGGCCGTTTCCAAGGGTGGCCACTCTGGGTGAGGAGAACACAGCCCGGAGTTGGCTGAGCCACGCTGGGCATGCAGCATGGCCAGGAAGTGACCTTGGCCGTTAGGAGCCCCTGAGACTGGGGTTTCCGTCAAGGTGGCACCTAGCCTGCATTTCCCGGTTCCTAACCCTCCTACCAGTTCCGCCAGTTTTCAGGTGCTTTTCTTGCTTTACAGGAGAGGTCATCTTCGGACAGTCCCGTGTCTGCCGCTCGCTGTGTGGGCCATGCTGCTGGGTGAGCCGGAGCCTCGGGACGGCCCTGGCAGCACCCAGCACCCAGGGACCTTCTTGTTCTTCGCCGGGGATGACTCAGGCGTCACAGTGAAGTGTGATACTTGCTGTTCGGACGTGGCTAGAGCTTGATAGCTGCTTACTAGCTTTTCTTTCATTTTGGCTTCCTTTTAAATGTTTAAATCAGACACAGGTGTTTAGTGTTACGGCATTTTCGATGTCCGTGGGCTGGAGCACGTTTTTGCCCTTCAGTCTGGGAGCACCTGAGACCTCACACGTAGGCCTTCTAATGCGGGTCCATTTGGATTCACTGGTCCCACGTGTGTATGAAATTACCCACATCGGTCACAGTGACCTTGCCTGCACGCGGGCACCTCTGTCACTGCCTTGTTTTAAAACTTGTGCACGTGACCACTTTAAGCAAACAAGTCATTCCTCATCTCTAAATGCAGAGGGGGAAACTGGGACTCAGTTCTGCGTCGACGTGGCTACTTAACACAATGCCTGTTTGCTGATCTTTCTGAGGACTTCGCACTTTTGCCCCTGATACTGGCGCCCAGCATGTCTGTGATGTCCCCTGGCCTGGCCTTGACACGTGGGGACGCCAGCCACACGGGGGCCCTGCCTGCAGCACCCTCTGGCAGAAGCCCAGGAGGCCGGGCACTGACTCTGCTTTCAACAGGAACCAGCCTCCTCGGGGTCAGGCCCTGGCTCCACGCTTCTCTGTCGTCACCCCGCCCCGTGTTCACCGCCCAGCGTCCCCCCTGCTCCCAGAGGAGCCCCGGCCGCCGGGTAGGGGGGGCCCGCGGTGGGGGGGGGCAGGGGGGGCCTGGCTGCTGGCGCACACAGCCGCCTCCCACCTCTCCCACCAGCGAGGGCTGGTGCGGGTCCCACAGGGCCAGGAGGTCCTGCTGAGCTCTGGTTCCTTCCCTTTTCTGACGTGACGCCTGTGTCCCGAGCCCCAGAGGCCCCACCATGTCGTGGATAAAGCTCGTCCAGAGCCGACCCCTCGGGAAGAGCTGCGCTGAGCTGATGCCTCTCGTTAGCTCTTAGCAGTTTGTTCTGGGGGGAGAGACCGTGTGGGAAGTTCCCAGAGGCGCCTGTGCCCCCCAACCCCACCCGCTCATCCCGCACTCGCAGAGGAAGGGACCCCTGTGTCCCCTTAGCACCAGGTCCCCAAGTGGGACGTCTTTCCCAAACCAGGATCTCGGTCACAGTGGAGCGGCCCCTTCCTGCCCCTCCCCAGCCACCTCTTCCGTCCTGGCCTCACATCTTACAGAACCGTTTGTTGTAGGATCAGCTCGGCTCGAGCCGGAGCTGCTGAGCACAGAAACATGAATGTGCCAGTGCGACCTCTGTTAACGGTTCTGTGCACGGAGGGTGGCTGGCTTTCCCTGTCACGCCAGTCAGACTCCCCGCGGGGGCAGGAGATGGACAGGGGGCTGCACCCCACCAAGCCCCTCGCTCACACCACCCAGTGCCGCCTCCTGCTCATGGACGGGCCCCGATGCCAGTGGATCCTGGTGGGTCCCCTCCTCCGAGGGGCTCTCAGTCTGCAACTGACTAGGGCAGCTGGGTCAAGAGGCCGGCGTGGGGTGGCCTCAGTACTCATGGAACTGGCTGACGTGGCCTCGGTCCCTGTGGTAGCGGCTCATGGTTTCAGTCCATGTTGTCGAGGTCGACGTGGCGTAGGTAGATGTGGCATGCACTCAGGTGGCTTGGCTGGTGTAGTCTCAGCTGTGCGGGTGTCTGGGTTGAGCCCCATTTCCATGGGCGTGCGGGGTTTCCTGCAAAGCCACACCAGGTGATGGGTGTGGACAGGGCATGTGTGGCTGGTGCAGCCCAGGAAGCCGGGAATTGGGAAAGAACAGCATGGGGCCGGGCCAGGGACAAGACCTAGACGAGACTGAGCGGGCACCAGCCCCGGCTGTCTCGGGGTTTCAGCAGCACAGCCAGGCCCATCGCCCTGGAGGCAGAGCAAGGGGACCTGGAGTGTCCGGCTGGCTCAGCACCTGGGTGGCCAGCCCTGAGACACCGGAAGCCTCGGGTTCTGTAACTGACTTCCACCCCGTCGGGCAGCCTGTCCAGATGGGGGGTGACAATCGTCGGTGGAAAGCTGTCCCCCCCCATAGACGCCAGCGGCGTGTGGTCACGGCAGGCTTGAGGCTCTGCGGGCGGGGGGGGGGGGGGGGCTAGCTCCACCCCCAGGCTGCCCAGGATCCCCGAGGCTCCCCTGATGGAGCCCTGCGGGACCAGCAGACCAGGCGCCGGCAAGGGGGCAGCCGTGGGGAGACGCCGGGTCACAGAAGGAGGCAGGTGGGTGCCCTGGCTCCCACCCAACTCCAGCCTCACGAAGGTGCGTGTCTGCCCCGATGCAGAGCGTGGCCCCTTGTGTCCAGAGGCTGCGCGGGCGAGCGAGCGAGGCCGGACCTCCCCCGCCTG